AGAGGGGGAAAGGGGAGTTTAGGGTTTAGGGTTTAGGGTTTAGGGTTTAGGGTTTAGGGCTGCTAGGACCCGGAGTCGGCCCTTATTTCCTTTTTTTTTAGGCTCCCTTATAATCCCCTTCAAACCAGGGCACCCTTTTTTTTCCTAGGTTACTCCTGGGTCTAGGGGGGCCTTAAGGGTGTAGAGGGGAGGTTGGATGGAGGGGCGTTAAGGGCTCAAGGTTCATGATCTTTGCTTTTTTATGATCTTTTTTGGGTTTTTTGGGGCTTTTTTGGGGTTGAGAGAGTCGACTTTGGTTCCTGGGCTAGCTTTTGTTCAGGAAGCGGGGACCGGATGTTGTGTGGTGGGTGTTAGTGTTTGGGGCCAGTGTTACCTAAGCCCAGCAAATGGGGGTTTACGAAAAAAGGGGACACCGAACATACTCCCAAATACTGTAATCCTTATTATAGGAGCCCCCAAATCCCCAAAAAGGCTACCCCTGTGTTCGGAAACCTCCAACGTATTGGCAGAAAACCCTAAACCCTAAACCCTAAACCCTAAACCCTAAACCCTAAACCCTAAACCCTAAACCCTAAACCCTAAACCCTAAACCCTAAACCCTAAACCCTAAACCCTAAACCCTAAACCCTAAGTTGGTTGGAAGATTCTGACTGCCCCTGCCATACAGGTCTGGCGATCCAGCCATGGCTACGACCGCACAATCAAGGCTGCCTGCGTGTTCGCCCTAAACCCTGAACCCGAAACCCCTAAACCCTAAACCCTAAACCCTAAACCCTAAACCCTAAACCCTAAACCCTAAACCCTAAACCCTAAACCCTAAACCCTAAACCCCAAACTTAACCACTAAACCCTAACTTTGGGTTTGCGAATTGGTGTCCCGGGAAAGACCCCGATATTTTTAACAACCCGCGGGCTTGGTGTAATCGTGGGGGGGCCTTCAGAGAACCTCACAGACGTTACGAGAATAAGGGTTTAGGGTTTAGGGTTTCGGGTGTCCATCAATCGAAACTTGAACTCCCAAACAGCATGCCCTGACGCAGGGCCAGGATGGGGGCAAGACTCTTCAACAAAAGAAGGGACGAAGCAGGGCTCAAGAAGACAGACAGCCTGAAACCAAACTGGTGCAAGACAAGGCGACCTGGCCCCTAAACCCTAAACCCTAAACCCCAAACCCTAGACCCTGAGCCCTAACCGGAGGCCTGCAACCAGTCCTTGCGGAAGCTGGGCGTGGACTACATCGATCTCTACGTCATCCATTGGCCAGGGCCGAAGACCGGCTGGCCGCTGCCGCGAGGCCAGCCCCATGGGGTTGAGGGTTCAGGGTTCAGGGTTCAGGGTTTAGGGTTCAGGGTTGAGGGTTCAGGGTTTAGGGTTTAGGGTTCAGGGTTTTTTGTGGGGTTTAGGGGTTGAGGGTTCAGGGTTGAGGGATGTTTAGGGTCGGAAGTTAGTTGGTATAAGTATAAACCACCTAAACCCTGGGCCCTAAGCCCTGCGCATGGTTGGCATGGATTCCCGGATTCCTAGCTTTCAGCTTTTAGAAGCTAAGATTGAACGGCCCAAGTGCCCTCATAAGTTTTGGGTTGGACTGGGATTTTCTATAGGGGTTCAGGGTTTAGGGTTTAGGGTTTAGGCTTTGGGGTTTAGGGTTTAGGGGTTCCTAAATGAATTAAGGCCCATGTTGTGGGACCATGTAACTACGTACCCTAAGAGAGATGAAGGGCTTCCTAAGAAATTCTTTTCTTAAGCAAATAGTAGTTCGGGGCTTCGGCGGCAAGCGAAGTGTTAGGGGCAGGCGAACTTCCGCTGTGATACATGGGTAGCTTGGGCTTCCCACCCGATGCGGGTATATCCTAAACCCCAGACGCTGATGCCCAGGGTTTAGGATTTAGGGTTGAAGGTTTGGGTGTCCAATGTTGCTGGGGCTTCCAGTGCACTAGCTGAAACTATGAGTCCACGGGGCAAGTGCTGCTTTCCTTGCTTCTTCCATCTAGGGCTTAGGGCATCTCACCAGAGCTCAACATCCTAATTAGCCCTTACCCCCCACCCCCCCCCCAACAAAAAAAAACAAAACGAAAAACGGATGTCAAACCATGATGAGTGAACCCCCGTCATTGGTCCTGTAACTAACCCCCAGTCATCCAAACACCACCAATTTTCCTGCCAGGGGTCTGACCCCCCAAAAAAAGAAAAGATTCTTCCTCATAAGGGCAAGATAGGGATTATTATTTTCTACTTTTGGGGTTCTTAAGCAAATAGTAGTGAACCCTCACACAGTCGTGTGGCCTCGCACGGAGACACAGAGACAGAGAGAGAGAGAGAAAGGTGCACGCCGATGTATATGTACATATGCTACCATGTGGTCAGCTTTCGAAATTCTGGCCTGTTTTTGGATACGCTAATTTTTGGGGCCGCCTTAGAAAAGTTGCCTCAAGGGACCCTAATTTAGAGAAATGACCATTTGTAGTTACACACACAGAGCATAAACGCAGACGAAGCGACCAGCAGAGGCATAGTAATCACACAGAGGGCACATGCAAGAGCAGTCAGTGTTGTCAGGTCCATCTCCGATCCTCTACCCTAAACCCTAATCCCCAAACCCTAAACGCCCTAAACCCCAAACCCTAAACCCTAGACCCCGAACACCAATTCTAAACCCCAAACCCTAAACCCTAGACCCCAAACCCTAAAAACCCCCCCCCCCCCCCCCCCCCCCCCAAAAAAAAAAAAAATGCGTGTACAACAGGGCAGCTCCAGGGTTTAGGGTTTAGGGTTTAGGGCTACAAGGGGAGTAGGCCCTTATTTTCTGTTTTAGGGTTGGGGTTCCCTTCTAGTCCCCTTAAAACCAAAAAGGGTACCCTTTTATTCCTAGAGGGAAGATGTCCTGAATGAAGGAGTCTTGGAGTCTCTAGGTTTTGGCTAAGGCATGCCGAGGGTTTTTTTTGAGGGTTGTCAGCTTAGGGTTTCGGATTGGTTTTTGAGGAGTTGGCTTTTTTGGGTTTAGGGTTTAGGATTGGTTTTTGAGGAGTTGGCTTTTTTGGGTTTAGGGTTTAGGATTGGTTTTTGTCGCCCTTTACCCCCTAACCCTTGTTGCTGCCTCTCGAACCCCCTTCTCTGTCGCAGGGAAAGTCTGCCCCCCAGACTGGACGCCCAAGCTGCGGGACACGGGCACGTGGAAGGCCATGGAGGACCTCTACGAACAAGGCAAGGTCAAGGCCCTGGGGGGCTCAGGGGGTTGTTTAGGGTTTAGGGTTTAGGGTTTAGGGTTTAGGGTTTAGGGTTTAGGGTTTAGGGTTTAGGGTTTGGGGTTCGTCAGGGTTCAGAGTTCAGGTTCCTTTGGAACTTGGTTTTCGGCCTTTGTGGCAGGCAATCGGCGTCACCAACTACTCCCTGCGCCACCTGAAGCAGCTGATGAAGACCTGCAAGATCAAGCCGCATGCTGAGACTACTACTAATTGCTTAAGAACCCCCAAAAAACATAAAAAAGGATTCTTCCGTATTAAGGGTAAAAAAGGATCCTGACTTGTTGTTCTTTTGCGGTTCTTAAGCAAATAGTAGGAGAGTTGCCCGAACTAGTGGATAAAGGTCTATCCTTGGCGATGGTTGCCGAGATGGCTGGAGACAATTCGGGAAGCCCGCGTGAAGCCATGAAGCCTGCTTAGAGTTCATGGTTCATAGGGCCCGAATGCCCGAATGCCCAAAACCCTAAACCCTAAACCTCGAATGGCCAAGACACAAAAATGGGCCTTCAAGCCTTAGGCAGAGAGACAGGCAAGCAAGAGCGAACGTCACGCAGCTGGTGCCCATAGAAGGAGACGCATGAGAAGCAGGGTTTATATTTGGTGAGTGTAAATAAGGTTCCTTTTCATATTGGTGAGTGTATATACCTGGTGTCCTTTTGAGGGCACGAGAATATATACCCTACTTCATGAGAGAATCTTACGATCATGCTTATCTTTGCGGTGACTTTCCGCCCGATCCAGTGTACTTGATGATTGCTGCTGATGCTGCTACATGTGTTTCATGCTTTTGCTTATGAGGCCGATGATCAACCAGGTGGAGTTCCACCCCAGGCTTGTTCAGAAAGAGCTACTGGCTGCATGGCAGCAATTCACCAACCGCTCGCCACTCTGTTGCCAATGTTCGCTTGCAATCGCTGGGCGATGTGAAAGCCAGTTTTCGAGTCGGCACAGCACCTGATAATGAGATCGGTCTCATCAACCCTAAACCCTAAACCCTAAACCCTAAACCCTAAACCCTGAACCCTGAACCCTGAACCCTAAATCAACAGGAGTTAGAAGGGCAAATGCAGGCTGCGTATGCACCCCTTGCGCCTGGGCATCGGGAGGTCTTGGGCTGATTTTCCAGCATCGCGGAACCGAGGAGTTCTGCCAGAAGCATGGCATCGTCTTGCAGGCCTATGCCTCTTTGGGCTCCGGCGATGCCTCACAGGCCTTGTTAGGGCTTAGGGTTGATTAGATTTTGCGTATGTATCATGCACTTCAAGCAAGGCGTGCCCAGAGCCTGGCCCTTCTTCACCAGTTATATTCTGCAGAAAAATCACCTCTACATTACCTTATATGTATATACACATATTCACATACAGGGTTCAGAATTTAGGGGCATTGGCAGAGCGCTTTCTGATTGCTATACACACACATATACATATATACACACACATATGTGTGCCACATATCTATGTCTGTATATATCTATAGATGTATATATCTGTATATTTTTATTTATAGAGAGATATACATATACACTCGGACCCAGAGTGGGCCCTTGTTCCTTTTTTTAGGGTTTGGGTTCCCTTATGAGCCCCGCAAACTAAAAAGGGCACCCTTTTTACTTCTGGGTGACTCCTGGGTCTCGTATACATATTCAGATGTCGGCATCTCGGGAGTGCCTTATGCAGTTGAGGGTTTTTTAGGGTTTAGGGTTTAGGGTTTAGGGTTTAGGGTTTAGGGTTTAGGGTTTAGGGTTTAGGGTTTAGGGTTTAGGGTATCTCCCAATTCTTGCAGCTAACAAGGATTCGAGCTGCACGGTTGTCCAACACTCGGACAGATCGTTGAAACCATGGGGTTTAGGGTTTAGGGTTAAGGGTTTAGGGCTTAGGGCTTAGGGGTGAAGCCGCGAACTTAAACCGTTAAAGCCCGAAGTAAACTGTGCAAAAACACATCTACTTGTTTAACTCTCCAAACGCCGACGCCCGTAAGCCCTTCCACCGAAACCCCCAAAACCCTTTGGGTTTAGGGGCTTAGGGTGCTCAGAGTTCAGCATCTCAAGTCCAACCACACGAAAGAAACCCATCCATCCGTTAGTCCCATACCATCAGGTACATACCAGAAAACGCTTTATTGTAAGCCAACCACACATTCAGCCAATTAGCACCATGAAGCAAAAGCGTTGTATGCACAGTAATTTGGCCAAGAGACGCAGCAACAAGCGAAAGAACCAGATCTTCAGCCAAGACGCACCAACAAGCAAAACAACCACAGGGGGAAGTCCCGAATGAAACACCTGCGAAAAGGCCCTAAAGGACCCCAAAAGGAACGCTTTGCCGATTGAGCTCATGTTCCTTGCCATTGCCCTTGTTCTCCTTAGCGTTGGCCTGTGTTCTCCTTGCTGTTGGCCAGTTTCTCCTGGCCGTAGCTCCTTGCGGCCTTATTCTAAGTCACCAGGTTTCAACGCACAAATAAACTAAACTAATACACGTGGACATGGAAAGCTAGAGATGTGCCCAGCGAGAGGATTTAGAATCTAAATCTAAGCCCGAGACTCTTCCCCAACCCCCCTTGAAGGCTTATGGTTTAGCGGCCCTTCCACCCTAAACCCTAAACCCAAGCCCCAAGCCCTAAACCCTAAACCCTAAACCCTAAACCCTAAACCCTAAACCCTAAACCCTTCCACCCCTCTAACCCAAGTCAGGCCGAGAGCTTCTTTGCCTTCCCACCCGTGAAGGCTGCCGCGAAAGCTCACGGCAAGACTGGTGCCCAGGTGAGGATGGGAGATTACAAGGGTTTAGGGTTTAGGGTTTAGGGTTTAGGGTTCGGGATTACAAGAGTCTACAGGGTTGAAGGTGCAAGGCTTAGGGCTTAGGGTTCTACGACTGAGGGATCTTTTTGGCGAAAGACGGGGTCAGAATCAGAGGGTAAGCAGGACAATGGGGATAGGGATTCTAGGGTATGAAGGGTGGCGTAGGGTATTACGGTCTTTCGGGTATGCTTTTGGAGGTCTATAGAATAAAGGCGCCGAAACGTGTATGGTTCGAGCATCCACGATTTCCGAGGGTTAGGGTTTAGGCTCCAGGGGGCTTGGTGAGGGGCTGGGGAGCGGGAGGGAAGTGTTTTACTAGGGTTGGGGGTATGAGGGTGTAAGGTGGAGTTGATGAGTCCTTCTGGCAGTTGTTTGGCCATCGCGCCCCATCAGCAACAACCCGGAACCCGAAATGTTCCAAACGTGGGAAATCCCGAAGTCAACAAGTCCTAAGCTCTACAGCTCGAAACGGTTTAGGGTTTAGGGTTTAGGTTTTAGGGTTTAGGGTATAGGGTTTAAAACCCAGAACACCCTAAAACTTCAAACCGGAAGCCCCCGGACCCTAGTGTCTTCCCCCTTGTGGGAGGTGCTTTTACGATGGGCCATGCAGAAGGGCTGACACTCGGCAAGCTCTTTCAGATCAGGGGCCAGCCCTGGTATTATATACTTGGTAGCCCAGTGGTACCCTTTACCCTTTTTTTGGTTCTGGGTTCCCTTACACAGTAACCAACCAAAAAAAGAGAGTGCCCTTATTATCATATGGTTACTGGGCTACTATGTATACATATGTATTTATTTGTTTATTTATCTATGTATTTATTTTATATTTATATTTGTATTTATATTTATATTTATATATGTATACGTATGTATATGAGGCTCCGTACTCTCATCAAAACCTACCAAGCTCTAAACCCTTTAACATCGCCGAGGTCACGTGGTCCCGAAGTCTGTCCGGCCAGAGCGCATGAAGGAGAACGCCGGCGTCTTCAACTTCAAGCTGCGACCCGGCTAAGTTTCGGGGGCGTTGTTGAGGTTCAGGGTTTAGAGTTTCAGGGCCCTAGACCCTAAACCCTAAACCCCTAAACCCTAAACCTGAAACCTGAAACCCAAACCCTAAACGTCTCTTTGTGGGCTTTGGACGATTGTGGGGTTTTCCTTTCCCAGCTGCCGAGATCAAGCTCCGAAATGAAGGCCATCGACGCCTTGCACCTTCGTCCGCAGGAAAAAGGGTTCAGGGTTTAGGGTTTAGGGTTTAGAGTCAAGCAATTACTCGAGCGTCAACGGCCCAAAGAATCCCATAACACTAAGAAAATAGTCCACTTACATTTTTATTTTCAGGCGACAAAACCGACAACATTCTGAAACCCACCATAGAGAATCACAATTTCCCACTATCTAGGGTCTAAATTGCTTTAGTGTCCCACTATGTCCAAATGTGCTTCGTGTCCCTCTATCTGGGCCGAAGGTCATATTTTTACACTGACCTTCGGGGCCGGAAGGTCACATCTTTATTGGGCGGGGTGGGCGCCCAGTAAACATGTGACCTTCAGGGCCGGAAGGTTAGATTTTTACTGGGCGGGTGGGCGCCCAGTACAAAAATGACCTTAAAGGTCGTATTTTTGCTGGGCACAAGGTCTTTCTTTGGACCGAGCGACTCTTGCCCAGGAAAAAGATGATCTTGCCCAGTAAGAAAATGACCTTGCCCAGTAAAAATATAACCTTGCCCAGGAAACATTTGACCTTGCCCAATAAAATATGACCCTGCCCAGCAAAATTATGACCTTGCCCAAGAAAAATATGACCTTGCCCAATAAGAATATGACCTTGCCCAGTCAAAATATTAGCTTTCGGGGCCGAATGTCATATTTGTACTGGGCGCAAGGTCGTTTTTAGGACCAAACGACCTTGCCCAGTAATTAAAAAATATGACCTTGCCCAGTAAGAAAATGACCTTGCCCAGTACTAATATAACCTTGCCCAGAAACTCCCCAACATTCAGATAATACATGTAAGAGAGGTTTAGGGTTTAGGGTTCAGGGTTTGGGGTTTAGGGTTTGGGGTTGACTGCACATGGAGCCTATTGCGTGCTTGAGCCTGTAGGACGGTCTGAGCGTTGCAGCCCCATGCCCTTATCTTCTAAACCCCCTATAACTTGCAGGTTCTTAGTAGGGAATGAGGTACCCTATATCCCCTCTATATATACCCTCTCAGAGAATATGTAGGGTACCTCCTGCATCCGAAGCTACAGCTTGGGATGTTCCCCCTGAGACTCACAGTCCTTCATAGGGATTACAGCAGGGGTACCAGAATCCGTTCATACTGTGAGTGCAAGGGGGAACATCCTAAGCTACAGCCTTGATCGTCTCTGGAGGCATACTGGAACCCGGTATGCCTGGAAGGGTCTGGATCCTGACACGATCGAGTGATGGCAAGCAGCCCGACGCGCAAAAGTCCGCCGAACGCCCTACGGGGCAAGTTTTCTTGATGCCGGACTGATGTCTTTAGGCTATGTAAATGCGTTTGCAGGCGTCACGTCCTGCCTCTAGCCATATACGGCCAGGTCACTCTGTCGCAGTGCCTGCTGGGTTTGTACATGCACCCTGAGCCACACAAATTACAACACCCTCTAGGTATGAAAAATAACGGGTTCAATAGATGTTCCATGACATCCAGACACAAGGTGTAGGGTTTAGGGTTTAGGGTTTCTGCCTCCTCGCCGGTGTAGCGCGTGGCTCGGGATTGTCTGTAGGGAGCGAAGACAGTGCGGAGGAAAAATGCTATCTTCCGAACTAAACTATCCCTATACCCCAACCCTTGGAATAAGGCAGAGTTGAACAAGGATCTGAGCATAGAGCACATGGGAGTCGAGCTAAATTCTCGGCCCCGCTTATAGTTTGCCCAGAACTTGCGTGTTTTCTCATACGATACTATGTTTAGCGTTCATGTTGCCCCCCATGAATGAGAAGCCAGGTATGTTGCGCAAGGAGTCTATAGGCATCATGCTCCGCCTCTAGGGTTCGGGAATTTCAGGTTGAGGTCTGAAGCCCTAAACTCCCTAAACCCAAAGTCCTAAACCCAAAGTCCTAAACCCTAAACCCTAAACCCTAAACCCTAAGCCCTAAACCCTAAACCCTAAACCCTAGACCAGCCCTGGGAACCTGCACTGCCTTCTCAAGCTAGCATCAGGACCTACAGGATTCAAGACACCAGGTACCCGGAAGATGCCCAGCGTGGGTTTAGGATGTAGGAGGTTCGGAAGTTCGTCATTGAGGTTGGGCATGTAAGGTGGAGTTGTGCCTCTCTTTAGGCAAAGAATTCGTGTATACCAGCCATGGCGAAGATCAACGTCGGCATCTGCTGCATGAAGAAGAAGTTGAATTCAGATTCCATGGCCGAGCTACTCCAGAGGCTGCAGGCAACGGGCAAGTTCGTGATCATCCGCTTCAAGGAAAGCATGATTCTTCATGAACCGGTCGAAAACTGGCCGGTGGTATCTTGCCTTCTCGCCTTTGCCTCCACAGGTTTTCCATTACCAAAGGCCATCCAGTATCCTACATCCTCCTTGGGAGTTATATTTTATTTTGTTTATATAAAACCCAAGAGGATAGTAAACATATTATGTTTATTACGGTTCCAATGGGAGTATAGGTATCAAAAGCTCCGAAATCCCTGGCTCGTGAACGCGCTCGAGGAGCAAGAAATCCTCACCGACCGAGTGCAGATGTATGCGCGTCTGTCAGAATCCTGGTTTAGGGTTTAGGGTTCAGGGTTCAGGGTTCAGGGTTTAGGGTTTAGGGCTTAGGGTTAGTAGTAGAGCAGGTAATAGAGTCCCCTTAAAATCCCAAAGGTGAACCTTTAATTCCCCCAGCTTACTGGACAACTGAGGAATCAGCAATCCCGTGCCCACCTCACATGATCATAGATCATGGATCGGCCACGCCAGGCGACCTTGTGCAAGACACAGACAGCATCACGTGGCGAGGGCAGGTCTTGCCTAAGCCTTTCGTGGAGAAGCCCCAGGACGCGGACGATCATGCCGTCTGGATCTACCACTCTTCCGGTCAAGGGGGTGGCGCGACCAAGTTGCACAGGAAGAAAGCCAACCAATCCAGCATCCGCGACTTCTCTCAGAGCCAGATTCGAGAGAATGGGATGTTCGTGTATGAGCCCTTCATGGAGACGGGGGGCCTTGACATCAAAGTCTATGCCGTTGGCGAGTCCTACGTGCACGCCGAGGTTCGTAAAGCGCCGGGGGTGGATGGGCGTGTTGAGCGCGACGGCAACGGCAAAGAGATCCGACAAACCATCGAGTCTTGGTAGCCCAGGGGTATCCTTTTACCTTTTTTTTTAGGTTATGGGCTCCCTACTAAAGTAGCCAACCTAAAAAAGGGCGCCCTTGTTGTGATATGGTTCCTGGGCTACCAAGGAGTTGACTCCGGAGGAGAAGATCATGTCCCGGATGGTGGTCAAGGCCTTCAAGCAAAGCGTCTGCGGCTTCGACATCTTGCGCACGACGGATGGGCGGTCATTGGTCTGTGATGTGAATGGGTTCTCCTTTGTGAAGGGGAACAAGGACTACTTTGACAACGCAGCCGCCAGCTTGACAGCAATGCTGGTGAGTACCGCAGCGAATCCCCCCCGCACACCCTTGCCCCACAGGATCCGCCAGAAAAGCTGGTTCAAGGCAATCGGGCGCTTGTGTTCCTTGTGTCCTTGTTAAGAATGGAGCCACATGTTTTGGCGGCAGTTCTTTGCTGCCGCACATACTATACACAATCCGCCGCATCAAAAAAGAGTGTGACCTGAACTCCCTGTGCAGGATTCCAGAGGTAGGTACCTGTGGTTCCTCATCGCAGGAGACTCTTACAGGGGTTTGCACTTCCAAGTGAAGAAGCAGCAGGAACGCACGCCCATCATCGTTCAACAGTACATCAGCATTGCGGGCTTCGCAGTGGCATACCCTAAACCCTAAACCCTAAAATCAGAAGCGGATAGACGTGGCAAGGGCAACGCAGAACCAACTCATCCCTAAGCCCTGAGCTAGTACTGCAGCAGTCACTGGCAGCGTTCCTGTCTTGAGCTTTAGACAGAACAACAAATTGGTTTTAAAAGAAGAGCTAGATTTGGAGGTCTGGGGACATAGTTCCATAGTTCTAATATTGGGGGTGGAGGGGGGGGGGGTGGGGAGGGGGGGGGGGGGGGGGAGGGGGGTGAGGGGGGCGGGGATGGGGGGGGGGGGGGGTAATTAGTCTTCCCTCACCCTGAAGAAGCCGCAGCGCGCAACAAGCCCTGTCAAAACACTATCAACCTTGCAGCCCTAAACCCTGTAACCTTGAAACCATGAACCCACTATGCCTCAACTCAGGAAGATCCCTTAACTCCCAGAACACCAATCTGATTTCAGGGGCCCAACCCTGCACTCCAAATGCAAGAATCCTAAACCAGACTGCCAAAGCATAAAACCCTCGACCTCGACCTATTGGGGTTTTAAAGTTTAGGGTTTGGGGGCTTTAGGGTTTTAATGCTTGGAGGTTCATGGGTACATAGAACCCCAAGTATAAGTCTACTTAGAGTCTACTTATAACTGTACCGTTACAGTTGGGGTTGCAACTGTTCTTATAGCCTTCAACCCCAAACCCTAAACCATAAGCCCTAATCGTATAAGCACACCTATAGCTGGGCTGTGTGCCCTGAACCTCCAAGTGGGCCCCTGCACGCAGCCATGGCCAAGCACTGGGACTGCGGCTGGGCACTTCGACTTGCAGTCAACACTGGGGTAGGTTCATGGCGGGTACTCTCCCTAAACCCTAAACCCCAAACCCTCAACCCTAGCCCTAAACCCTAAACTGCTAATAACCCCAGAGAAAGCTGCACCCATGAACCTCCAAGCAGGGTTTTTACTGTATGGCTTTTTCAGGGTTGCGGGGTGTCAGGTTTTTTGGGGGCTTTAGGCAGGGTTACTGGGGTTTAGGGTTTTGGGGGTTTTGGGGTCTAGGGTTTAGGGTTTGGGGTTTCCGCTTGTGGTCGAGGGTTGACTTTGTCATAGTGGGGTAGCATTTTACATGTTTTGAAGGGGTACTTAGACTCAACAAGGAATAGCAACTTCAAGTTTTTAATGCCATCCCAACCATGAACTACTTGAGGAGTTTACGGTTTCGGGAAGTGTCCTTAGGGTTTAGGGTTTAGGGTTTAGGGTTTAGGGTCCCGAGGCCTTGGACGAGAGCTCTCCCTCTTGGCCGACGGTGTGCGCCCTTCACCGCACGGTCATCCGGGCTCCAGAGACCACGGAGCCTCCGGGCGCACGCCCCTCGGAATGTTTACCCTAAACCCTAAGCCCTTAACCTAGCCTTTAAACCCTACACCCTAAACCCCAAACGTTTAGGATGTGTTGCGGCTTCAGTGTTCAGGGTTCTAGCGTCTTTGTTTAAATGGATTTTGGGCTTAAAGATCTCAGGATTTGGAAGGCTCCGCGACCCTGAAGCCCAAATCCTGAATCCGAAAAGGCGCCCTCCTGAGGGCTTAGGGTTTAGGGTTTAGGGATATTCAATAAACCACTGGGTTTGACGGTTTCAGGGTTGGTAAAACAATGGAAAAATGTTTAGCTTTTTTGACATCTTTGCAAGTTTAAAATTACTAAGGTTCTTACATTATTGCCAGCCCTGTGGGCACTTGCAGCTAAAGAAGAAGAACATGAGAAACACAGTTTGAATCATCCTTGTGCACCCAAAAAAAGTAATCTTCCGCGCAATACATGCAATACAAAGAAAATCCTTGATTTGTTCCTCAGTGTTGCTCCGGTTCTGCCTCTTTACCCACTAGTAAGGGAAGTTTCAAAAACCTAAGAAACAGCCAAAACCACATTTTTCTAGGGTTCCAAGTTCAGTATAGCAAAGGACAAAAAAGGGGATGAGCAAAAGGGCCTGGAAACCTTCGACCCTCAAGCTTCAAGGCTTGGCCAGGGTCCAGCTTCAGATTCCAGAAGCTTCTGGAGACGGGCAATATATGTATAAATATAAATAAATAAATATATTATATATATGTGTATATATATATATACGTATACATATACTAAAAATGATCAGAACAATAATACTAAGAACACTTATAATTGTAATAAACATAGTCAGAATAATCATAGTAATAGTAATAATCGTAGTAGTAACAAATAACAAGAAGAATTCCTTTCAAAATCTGCTTACGGAACAAGCACCCCAAGCAAGTTTCCAAGTGAGTAGCCCACGAGCTGCCCTCTTTGCACTTTAGCACATTCTTTCGGTGCCCGGATGAGTCCGGAGCCCCTCCCCCCCCCCCCCCTTTAGGGTTCAGGGTTTAGGGTTTAGGGTTTACGGTTAAAACATCAAACTGAGTGATGAGAAGCAAGGCCTGGACACATTGAACCCCTCAACCCTTCCTAAGGAACCAAGCAGGACTATGACTATGAAGCCCTTATTAGGGGAATCTGCCTTGGTTCCGTAAGAACCCTTGATGGTAGAGCTCCTCAATCCTCGACTCCTCCCCCCAACCCCTGTTCCGGCGTATAGAGGGTGTCCAATCGTCGCGACATTGTTTGGGGGGAGGGCGGCCCTCATACTAAGCCGGGCACGACATTAGGGGTTCCGTGGCTGTAGGGCACATTCATCTTCTGGGGGAGGGGGACTGGGGGAGGCGCATTGTTGCCTTAGCCAGGCGCGGCATACGTTTCTATTCGCCCTAGACGTCAGTCAAGACCTGTCTTCTCACAGCTGACTGGTCCATGTTGATCCATTTTGAATTAGGGCTGTGGCTTTGGGTTCTCCAGGTAGATGTATACACACACACACACGCAGGGTTTACGAAGGGTTTTTGAACCACATCAACCCCAAACCCCTAAACCCGTTGAGATGTGCACTATAGAGGGTGTAGGAAGAAGAAGGGTTTCGGGAATTCAGTGTGCAAAAGTTGCCCTCCGAGCAGTTTACGTTCAGGGCTCCAGGGTTCAGGATTTTAAGCCCTGGGCTTCAGATTGTGGACGCAGGGAACTCGAGACTCTTTAGGAGCGTTTCGTTTTTTGGGTTTAGGGTTTAGGGTTTAGGGTTTAGGGTTTAGGGTTTAGGGTTCCAGACTCTTACTTTGACAAGTCTGCTGATAGCCTGCTTAGGGGACTTGAGGGGCTTGTAAGTACAGCCATGCTTGGGGTTAGAAGTACTCATGAGCCTCCAAGTAAGGTAACAAGCAAGCCTTCGAGCTGAACGGTGGAACGGGGACTCATGTGGATGCTCCGTCCCACTTCATTGCAGGCGGGGCCATGAACTCAGAGCCGGTTTAGGGCTCACCGGGTTTTGCCGCTACAGCCTTTTTGGGTTGTGGTCGTTTGAGCACCGTGTTCGTGAGTAGCGTCTCCTCCTGCCCCCGGATCCGAAGCCTAACAAAAAATGCGACACCAGGGGGACGCAATATTGACCAGCTGCACTTGAGCGAGCTCGTGGACATCCCGTTGGCCGTTGTCGACGTCTCCGCAGCTTGCAAAGAGAATCCCGATCACCAGGTGCAGCCAATTGGGGCTCCGGGTACACATAACAAGGGGTCCGGTGCATCGCACGAGCTGTCACTGCGAACAACAACGGAAGAGAGCCCCAAAGCAATGCAAAAAGAGAGAGAGAGAGAGGGAGAGGGAGACAGGTAGACAGACAGAGACAGACAGACACAGACAGACACAGACAGAGACAGACGGAGACAGAGAGAGACAGGCAGACAGAGACAGACACACAGACAGACAGGCAGACAGGCAGACACCACGCTGAACCCAAGCAAAACCAGGGAGCTTGCACAGCCGAGAGATGAATGGATGAATAGATCAGTTTACTCCAAACCAGAGTATAGGCTGGCTCCATGTATTGTAAAAGGTTTAGGGTCCCGAAACCCTAAACCCTAAACCCTAAACCCTAAACAAAAATATTGCATGCATTCGACAGGCAACGCGCGACGAGTTCATAGCGGACGAGGAGCGTCATGGCGGCATCCTTCCAGGAGTTCGCTGCACATGGGTTTAGGGTTAAGGGTTTAGGGTTTAGAGTGGGATTGATCTCAGCTTCTGCTGCTTTGCTTGCCAAGCGTGATGTAAGCTCTGGTAGTTCAGGAAGTCTCGTTTGCGTGCGAACCGGCTGGTCAGCACGCCACAGAGAGGCAGGGTTTGTCCGAAGTGCCCCACCGATACCGGCAGAGCGTGAAAGACCCAAACTGCAACGTCACTCGAGACTCTTTGTTACTAGCCCCGCCGAGCCACCTTAAGCTTTAAGTGTTATGAAAGCCCAAGATTTTTCCCACAAAACTCAACCGCTCAAGTTTCAGGCCTCAGCTCTGCAAAACAACACAACGACCCCAAACCCTAAACCGTAAACCCTAAACCCTTAACCCTTAACCCTAAACTCTAAACCCTAAACCGAAGCCGTTCAGGTGAGCTTGTCCTGCCATTCCTCGGGAGTCCCGCAGATCCTTAGTCAGGGTCTTAGGGCTTATGGGGCTTGCTTATGTATGCTTTAAACCCTAAACCCTAAACCCTAAACCCTCATGGCCCCCAAGGGCTGGGGTGCAAAATGACCGGGGCGCCAGGCGGAGCAGATGCTGCGGGCTGGCACTCCTGGACCTTGGACCCCATACCACGGCAAAGGGCCGGAGGAGGTGCTCCGGTTGCTGGTGACTGGGGTCCTGCGGGTCTTTGCTGCGGCGTGCTGGTCCAGGGTTTGCGGTTTTGGGGATTTCGGGTTTCAGGGTTTTAGGGTTTAGGGTTTAGGGTTTAGGGTTTTAGGGTTCAGGGTTTTGGGGTTTAGGATTTAGGCTTTGTCGCCACTTGTGTGCAGGACGTACATCCTGACTACAAGCTGCCGCGCATGCACTTCCCCGGCGTTGCCGCTGCTGCTGCCGAGTGGCTGGTGCAAAGCAGGCAGATGGTGGGCCTGGGCGTGGACACGCTGTCACCAGACGCGGGAGCCAGCGAAGGTGGGGATACCGAGGATACTGTACCGTGTTGAAATTGTTCCGGCTTTGGGCTTTGGAGGGCGACTGCCACATTCACCCAACGTCCGCTTTCTCTAAGCTCCAAACTCAAGCTGTTGTGAACTCTGCAGCCTGGACCGTATAAACCCTCCACAGCGGAGACTTGACAAGAGGCTTCAAAACTCACCACGCGGTCTTGGGAGCAGACCGGCCACTTGGCAGCAAAGCTCGGTCGCGGACCAATCAGCCAAAACCATGCACCCCAAAACCTATATATATATATTTTTTTTTACATATACATGTATCATATATAAATATACATAGAGTGTATACATATATGTATAGTATATATACATATGTGTACATCACAGCCGAAATGAAAAGACTTCTTTCTGACAGATGTGTTTTCAGGGTTGCAGGACTTCCAACGCAGATCTTCACACTACAGCGTTCAGCTGACAAACGCTACATCCAAAGCCCCTATCCAACCCTGACTTGTCTTTTGTTTTCTCTCTCTCTCTCTCTCTATCTTCCCCTCTCTCTCTTCCCCTCTCTCTGTCTTTCTCTCTCTCTCTCTTTCTCTCTCTCTCTCTCTCTCTTTCTCTCTGTCTCTCTCTCTCTCTCTCTCTTTCTCTCTCCCCCTCTCTCTTTCTCTGTCTCTTTCTCTGTTAAGGCTTTTAGGGTATCGGGATTTCTGGTTTAGGGTTTACATATGTGCAGCAGCAAGCAAGAACTTGAACTTGGTACCGGCATACCCTAAGCCCTAAACCCTAAACCCTAAACCCTAAACCCTAAACCTTCATGAGTAGGTATATTGTGGAGAACTTGAACTTGGAGGGCCTGCCAGCACGTGGTGCCCGGGTCACCGTGGCCCCCGTGGCACTCCGGGGTGCACCTGAGGCGGGATGAGGAGCCTTCTTAGGGTTTAGGGTTTAAGGTTTAGGGTTTAGGGTTTAGGGTTTAGGGCTTAGGGCTTAGGGTTTAGGGTTTAGGGTTTAGGGTTTAGAGGCTGATGTAGGGTTCTGGAATTTCAGGGTCTGGATGCTGTTTAAAAAGCGAGTCTACAGGTTTAGGCTTCGGTATGCAAGCCTGAGGCTTTGGGAATCAATTTGCGTCTACCCTGAACCCAAAACCTTAAACACTAAACCCTAACCCTTAAACCCTAAAACCCAACATGTGGGATCCCTCATGCCCCTCTCTTCCCACAACCGCACCTTGGACCGTTGTCTTTCGTCTTTGAACACCTAAAATAAGAAAATATTTGCCACAATCAAGAAACAACAAACATGCACTAAAACACTACAGGAACCAAAGCAACAAGCATGACAAGAATCGCAAGGTCCTCTGCCGAAGCCCAAGCTCCCCCACCTTCAGAATCCCACTACTCTTGGGGTTTAGGGTTTAGGGTTTAGGGTTTAGGGTTTAGGGTTTAGGGTTTAGGGTTGACCCATACCAGGCGCCCGCACGGGTCTTTGCCACCCTCGCGTGACGGGTTATAGGGTAGCACTTTTCGGGTAGGGCTTTCCGCTGCTTGGGCAAAGCTCTCGTTGACTGGAGATGCAACCGGCGGACAACAAGGAAGCTGGTGGGCGTATAAAGTGTATCATAAGATTACAGTAAACGCACGGTACAGTAGAACATTGTTACGATGAACTAAGACAACAAGACAAGAAAACAATAAGACAGTAAGGAAAGAAGACAATGATGTGAGAGCATAAGAATACAATAATACAATAGTAGCATGATCGTTTGTAAACTGAATGATATAACAATTTAGTAGTATTATGCTTCAAGAATGGGACAATATGGCTTTTAGAACGGTATAGTAGAACAATAAAGACAGTTCCACAATGCAAGAATATACGAGTATCGTGGCATAGTTAAGACTATAAGCCTCCCAGGCTTCAGATTGGTTTTGCTGGCAGAAATGGTCCCTTAAATGCCCTTGCATCAAGAGACAAATAGGTGCCATTGGCACCTGAAACCCTGAACCCTATAACCCCAGCTGAACCCTAAGCAAGACCTTAAGCCCAGTCAGGCCCTGTAAGCTCTCTATGCCCTAGACCTAAAGCCCTAAACCCCAGAAAGTGCGTCTAAAACTTGCTGCTGCTGTGAAGATCAAGCCCAGAGGGTTGCTGACACCCTTGGGGCTTGAGATGGTTAGGGTTTAGGGTTTAGGGTTTAGGGTTTAGGGCTTAGGGTTTAGGGTTTAGGGTTTAGGGTTTAGGGTTTCGGGTTTAGCGGCTTGGGCAACCCCAATTGAGCCCTCAAACGCTGACTGCAGACTGGGAACCTAGATGACGGTGAGGCAAAGCCCCTAAACCTAGGGCAGGAGTTGAATCACGCAACCTGCAAGGGTGTGTCAATACACCTGGCTGCCCTCTCAGCCCCGTTTAGGCCCTTAACCAGAACAGATCACACTACCTACTAGGACCCGGAGTAGGCCCTGATTCCCTTTCTTTAGGGTCTAGGTTCCCTTATACAACCCCTTTAATCCAAAAAGGGGGCACCCTTTTTAATTCTAGGTTGCTCTGGTCTGGCCTAGGCCTGAATAATTAGGATAGGGTGTTGGGGAATTCTTCTAGCATAATTATATAGGGATCATGAAGGAATACGAGAAGTAGTTATTCCGACCCCTGTGCTACCTAGGCCCATAACTGTCGGTCTTCTTTTTTTGGGGGGGGGAGAATCTTAGGTACCCCAAAAAAAAAGAAGCTACAACTCATTACGGAACCCTGTCCCGGTTGCTGGGTTTAGGGTTTAGGGTTTAGGGCTTAGGGTTTAGGGTTTAGGGTTTTGGGTTTTGGGTTTAGGGTTTAGGGTTTAGCATCTAGATCAGAGATGCAAGCTCACCGACTACTGGCGGCGGGCTCTGATGTTGAGTCCGGGCGCGCCGAGGCTCATGACAGGGTTTAGGGTGAAGGGAGAAATTGAGCTCAGGTGTGGCCTTATGGCCAGTTCTCCGAATTGGGGTCCTTTTTCGTGCAGCAGCCAGGTACCCCGTCATTTTGCAAGTGGGCAGAAAAAGCACGGAGTTGCAAATTTTGCAGATGGAGTTGATGTAGATCGACCCCCATGTGCTGTCAACCTTGGTTTGGCAAGGCTTGAGCTGCAGGCCCAACTCCACAGGTTAGGGCTTGCAGTCTCGTGATAGCCCACGGACCATGCTGGGTCTATACCTTAAGAGCCCAAAACTTTCTGTAGCTTCGTAGGCAACCTATTTGAAAGGTAGGCTTGGGGATCTTGAGGTAGGCCTTACTTGGAGGTTCATGGCACTTATTAAGCGATGAAAAAGTGTACTCATAACCCACTTATAAGCCCCTTAATTGCCCTAACATGGTTATAATTGGGTGCTAAGTACAGTGTTTGTTGGGCTCATAAGTACCATGAAACCTCAAGCACCCTGGACCCGGACATGTTTTTGGGTTTGTTTCGCAGGCGCTGGCGATGCCCATCCCGCCACCGCCACGGCCGCGCCACAGACCAGGCCAGTTTCGGCCAAAACTTCCGCAAGAGCAGCTACAGGTTGGGTTAGGTTTTAGGGTTGTGGGGTCTTAAGGTTTAGGGTTTCAGGGTCCCAGGGTTCAGGGTTTATCACATAGGGTTTAGGGTCTAGGGTTTAAGGGGAGGGCGAAACTGAACTCTGGTGAGGCAGTTTGCTTCCTCTGGTCCTGACGTGTCTGGCAATCGAGTGTAATTCTGTACATGCCCATCACCCCTTGCTAACCCTAAACCCTGAACCCTACACCCTAAACCCTAAACCCGCCGAAACGACCAAAGACCAAAGGCCCAACGCATATCGCTGGCCCGGACGACATCCTAAACCGGCTCCAACCACCCCTACCTATCTGCAAGCCACCTGCCGGCCCAAGGAAAAAGAGGCGGCGTTTGGGTTCAGGGTTCAGGGTTCAGGGTTTAGGGTTTAGGGTTTAGGGTGTAGGGTGTAGGGTTTAGGGTTTGGGGTGGTAGAGCAGGGTCGTCGGTTCTCCAAGCCCTGGAAAGGCCAGCCAGCTGTCGACAGCTTCTTTGCAGCCCTCCGGCACTAATTGCATCAGGGTTTAGGGTTTTGGGGTTTGGGGTTTAGGGTTTAGGGTTTTGGAGTTTGTGGAGCTGAGGCTTGGTAGGCTTGGTAGGCTTGTAGGGATTTAGGGCTTGGAACTTCCGGATTCTGGGGCACTGCCGCCGCCTTGATTCATGGGGGGTCCTTGCGTTGGACGGCCCTAGACCCCCTCGCAGGTTCTGCGCAGCTGCGCCGACAGAAAGCAGATGCGCAAGGAGCAACGTTCACAATCCCAAGCGCCGAAGCCCATGGGGCTGAATGGCTGAGTCCTGAAAGCCTAAAAACACCTCGAGCCAACAGATCTAGGGTTTGGCGGTTCAGGTTTCTACTCAAACACCCTAATAAGAGCAGCCGACTGAAACACCAAAGAGAACTCAAAACTAAACCCTAAACCCTAAACCTTAAACCCTAAACCCTAAACCCTAAACCCTAAACCCTAAACCTTACACCCTAAACCCTAAACCCTAAACCCTAAACCCTAAACCCTAAACCCTAAACCCTAAACCCTAAACCCTAAACCCTAAACCCTAAACCCTAAACCCAACTCCCTGACAGCCCTAAGGTTAGCGGGGTGCCCCCGCCGCCCTTCCAGGGCCTGCAGGCAGCTGCCAGGGGCCACGCTTTCCTTGGCGAGGCAGATCCTCGAAGCCCTTTACTTGGAGGTTCATGGTTACTTACAACCCCACTTAGGGTTTAGGGTTTAGGGTTCAGGGTTTGAACCCCCATTATGAGTCTACTTATGACCTAGTTCGGGGACGGGTTCAGGGTTTAGGGTTTAGGGTTTAGGGTTTAGGGTGTAGGGTTTAGGGTTTAGGGTTTAGGGTCTCGGGTCTAGGGTCTAGGGTCTAGGGTTTAGGGTTTAGGGTTCAGGGTTCAGGGTTCGGGGTTCGGGGTTTGGGGTTCGGGGTTTGGGGTTCGGGGCTTGGGTTTTTTTAGGGTTTTAGGGCTTAATGTTCAGGGCTTAGGGTTTAGAAACTCCGAACTCTGGAGTTCAAGCTGCCGCGAGGTGCCTGGGCAGCTGGTCATACCTCCAAAGTTGTGTGCGGGAGCTTCTTACTTAGCCAATAGCTGAACTTTACCCTTTTTGGCTTTCCTGAATTAGTGGGAATAATAAAGTTTAACCTTTTTTTCCCTTGGTTATTGGAGAAGTAAGGCCTTGCAGCCGCCACCCCCTGCCAGCTTTCACGGCCTCAGCTGGGACGAGCACAAACTGTGCCGCTGGACCTGAGCTTTGGACGTCCCTAAACCCGAAACCCGAAACCCGAAACCCTAAACCCTAAACCCTAAACCCTAAACCCTAAACCCTAAACCCTAAACCCTAAACCCTGCCTTTCTGGGGTTCTTGGAGCTTCTTGGGCTTGTCCGGCGGTTCACATAGGCGCTCTGAACGGTGTTGAGGGGTTTGCGGTCCCTTTGTTGTCTGTCGAAGTTTCTCGGGGTGCTTGGAGATTCATGGGTACTTATACGTATCTAGGGAGTTTAGGGCTTAGGGCTCCCCCAAGCATATGGCTACTCATAACCTACTTAGGGTCTTAGGGGGCTTATGAGTACAATGCTAAGTGCAGTGACCTTCCAAGTAGTACCGGGGGTGTTTGGGATTAGCAGACGTCTGCATCGGTTGACATGGAAGATGGTAGCTTCTCTCGCTTCTATGAAAAGTGTTGTTCTCTTTGCGCCCTTGTGCCTTTCATCTTAGAAGGGGTTTAGGGTTTTAGAGTTTAGAGTTTAGGGTTTAGGGTTCGGGTTGAGGGGATTCTGCGAGTGCCTCTTGTCAGGTTTGGGGTTCAGCGTGGTCCGGCACGCGGCGTTTCAAGCATCTCCCTAAACCCTAAAACCCTAAACCCTAAACCCTAAACCCTAAACTGAGGCAGCCAGCAGAAATACTACGAGGACTGTATCGAGTGCTGCAAACAGAAGATGCCGCAGCACAAGGCCAAGTGCCGCTCAGCTAAGTGAGATTCAAGGAACTAAAGGCGGGACCCTTAGAAGGGTCTTTGGGCTTATTCAGGGGGCTACTTAGGTATATAGGAAGGTATATATATATATATGTGTGTGTATATATATATATAAACCCCTAAACCCTAAACCCTAAACCCCAAACCCCAAACCCTAAACCCTAATATGGGTTCCATAGGGGAATTCTAGGGGTTCCTCCTTATACCCCCGTAGAGTAGGCCACTTTGCCCTGTTGGCTCCTGGCTGCTACTTCCGATCCCCCAAATCCGAAACCCCTAAACCCCAAAACCCTAAACCCTAAACCCTAGGCCCTAAACCCCAGGCCCGCACACGATCCCTGATGAATCCTAGCCCCGAAGCTTCCTAAAGTTTATCCTTAAATCCTCAGCCCATAATCCCCAAACTCCCTGTCCACCCTCAACCAATGGAAGGTTCATGGGTAAAAGGTCCCTACTTGGAGGTTCACGGGTACA